GGGTACGGGTACAGCCTTACAGGACACAAAAAATTGGAAAAGGTAGGATACAGGGACATGACTATACATGTATGTTATGTACATTTATATGTTTAAAATTTATAATTTACATTAGATAAATGTTGTTTTTCCATTTACATAAGACCAATGTATAAGAAATAGATGTGAAGTGTAGGATATACGTCCAAGAAGTGTATGAGGAGTGTTTTAAATTAAAACATGTATTATATAGTTGAGTATATGCTAAGCAAACATATCATATATTCCAGAATTGTCCAAGAAGTTTCGGTATGTGTACAGGTAGGGGTGTGTGTTGGGTACGGGTATGGCTGCCTTACGGAAGTACCCAGGTAATATAGCTTCTCATGGATACCATGGTTATCATTATTTGATAAAATTTGATGCTTCGTTCACACAATGTTGTAACTCATTTGCTTACATTATTACTTTTAAGAGCACACCCTTAGTGTAGCCCTGTTTTATGAAGCCCAAGTGTTAACATGTTTAGCACTTGGTAAGGTGGTGGTCTGATGATTGAGGAACCAGACTTGGTGAAGCCCAAGTGTTAACATGTTTAGCACTTGGTAAGGTGGTGGTCTGATGATTGAGGAACCAGACTTGGTTAATCCATCTACCTCTTGGTAAGGTGGTGGTCTGATGATTGAGGAACCAGACTTGGTTAATCCATCTACCTCTTTGCACTTGGTTAAGTTTTAATAGGACAAAATTTTTCTTGGAATTGTGCAACTTGAGTTCCCTTTTGGGCCCCTTTATTTGTCTTGGCATACCTGAAGTTTATTATTCTGATTTCTGAGAACCCTTTATTTTATTCTATCCGTATTTTATAATTAGCATGAACCAATCGTGAAGTTTTATTATACCTGAATACTTTAGTTTTGTCATGAAATATTTTACTTGGTTCTTTTGTTTATGTTTTACTATAACTTATACCATGGGCTGGAAGTAGGAGGCATGTCATGCACAAGACTAACAATAGTAATCTTTGTGAGAAACCAAATATTAATGATATTTTCAGCGTAAAACATCTTCAATAAAAGTCTAGAAGCTTTCTGTTTAACACTTGTAAGTGTTAATATATTTTTCTTCTATTCTTGCAAAATAACTTCCAGTCGTACGTTGTGCTAATAGATTGCAGATTCAGTTGTTTCTTCTCTCCATAATAAATCTTGTAAAACTTACATCTTCAACATTTGAACCTTCTGATACAGGTTTTTATGGCTCTAAGACAGAAATTCCAGCATTATCTCAGGGAAGAAGTCAACTGGTCCCTTATGCATTTAAGATATTATAGGTCGAACGTTGACTGGAAAAGACTTCGTCCTATGATCCTTAAAAGAATAAATAATAGGGTCAATGACTATCCGTTGAAGAGCATGACTCCTGTAGCAAATGATGTCCTTGAGTCCCAAAAACTTCTGATCCAAGGTGTCTCTACTCTTCTCAAAGTAATCCCAGCGAAATCTTGCAAGTAAGTTATATGAAATCTTTTAAGTTCATATCTACAAGTAATTGTTAATTAGCGTTCTCTGTAATAATAGACACCTACATATTTGCTACAATATTCTTGTGCAACATCTTGTATAAAGATGCGACAGTGAGATAGTGACCATTGACATGCATATTATTTGATACTGTTGATAGGGTTGTAAACAGGCAAAATATAGGTATGATCCATGTAATATCCATACACAAAAAAACTCCTGGTCAGAGTTTATTATTTTTAATTGGTTCACTTGTCTTCCATTTCTTGAAAGTTAATGCTATTTGACATTGTCATTTAATGTAGTGCACATTCTTAGATGGAGAGTAAGCAACTACCAAGAGTGCACCGTCTGAAGAGATCCTTGTGAATTACTGATATAGGTACCTAATCGAGATAAATGGAACAATTCAATAAATATTTTGTTTTTGTTGTTTAGATTACTGTTAATATATTTATTTAGCTAATTAATTAATGCATGAATTAAAAGGCATAAAAGAGTACTGTCCATCTTTTGATTCTTTGAATAGTATATTTTTCCGCTGTTTTCACGCAAGGTTTGATGCATCAACTGTATCATACCGAATTTTGAGCATGTTTGTAAAATATAGCTGAAACCAAACTATATAGTCGATAATGGCTAACAACATTTAATACATGCTGATGTAGAATAATAATTCTAACTACGAGATATGAGGTTTTAAGTAATTGAAGTTGAACAGGTAATGCAATATTAGGAACAAATCATTGAATTTAAAGTTTGTGATTAAACTTGAAATTACTTTATTCACCTATAAATCCAATACGATACTGCTAAAACCACATAATATCTGATACTTATACCAATTAGCAATAAACATGCAAAACAAAATCTCGACCAGTTTTGAAGTTTCAAACCTTGTTTCCACATAAACAATGCACCACAACCCAGCATGCAAAGTTCCTGCATTGCCTGAACCACGGTTAATAGGTTCAAAAGTATAGACATTCTTTTTAGTAAATGTCTGAGATATAATTCCTTTTCTAATTCATTTCCTTTTTAAATTTCACAAATCATCCCTGAACTTTGGAGTGTTTTGCACAACCCTCCCCGCACCCCCAAACTTTATAAACTAGAGAACACCCTGTAAACTTTTCTTACTAAAATATGATGATAGTTAGTTAACTTAGTTTAAGCTGCACTGTGCTTGGCTTATGACATGTTTTAGGAACTCTGTCCCTATTTACTTGATATATCTGCTATATTGCCCTTTTTAAGGTACTGTCCCGAGGTATACATTGGTAGCAGGGGCCACCAAATCAAAAGCTGCCATGGCTTCAAGCGTATCAAGAAGGACCAGGAGCACAGATGGATTGACGCCACCGTTAATGACATCCTTAGCCCTGTTGAAGCCTTCCACCTCCAAACCATGTTCCAGCCAATGATAAGCCACGACCAGCGTTTTGACTTCGATCGCATCCCTGCAGTCCTCGAACTCTGTTTCCAAGCCGGAGCCAAAGTTTCAGATGGAACCTCTTACAACCTAACACTAGATGCAAAAGAATTGTATCAGATTGGTCAAGAGACTCTGGATGCATGGGAAAAACTTAGGGATGGAGTCCAGAAGCTCCTGTTTGTGTACCCAGCCAAAGTTTGTGAGCACTGCTCAGAGGTTCACATTGGGCCCTCTGGCAATAAAGTTCGCGCTTGTGGGGTTTTTAGGTATGAGGGGTGGCGTGGGGCCCACCGGTGGAGGAAGGCGGGGGTGGATGATTTGGTGCCTCTGAAGCTCGTGTGGCACCAACGGCCGCATGATCCTGAGGTGCTTGGGGATGCTGGACGGGGGTATTATGGTCATTCCCCGGCTGTGGTGGAGCTATGTATGCAGGCTGGTGCTAGAGTGCCAAAGAAGTACTTCTGTATGATGAAGCTGCTGGGATTAACCCCTAATGTTGTTGAAGAAAAAGGTATGAAGGTTTAGATGAGGTTTAAATGAGAAAATATTGGGATTTGTATGACCTCTTTTATAAAAAAATAATAAAGGGGAAGTATATCTACTTCAGCTATTTCCGTCGTTGAGAGAATTAATATGGCGCTTTGAAAGCAAAAAGAAAAATGTTTGGAATGTGCAAATATGATGGATTATTGTAATATTCAGTTCAATAACCCTGGGGTTATGTTGGTGCAAATATGATGGATTATGGTCAGTATTTTGTTTTAAAATTTTGACGCACTAACCATTTGTATAGTTACAACATGGTACCGTCTCAATTCAAAAAACAACAGCAAGCAGATAATACTGATTCACTTGGGACTACTCTAAAGCATGTTAAATATATAAGCCATAACTTGCACTGTTGCCAGCAGCATCAACAACCTTAAACATTATGCGAACAACATATGCAAAATGCTTATCTATTGAAGGGGCTGTTCGTTGGGGATGTCATTAATATTTCAAACACCCAGTGAGGCCATTTGACCGCGATTGTTGTATGCGTTTTGACTATAGATAAAAATTGTACAAACACAAAATCAAGCTCTTGATAAATAAATACCACATCCAAAACCGCTCGCTTGCTCACAGGCGCATACACAAATTGAAGATGGTAAAAAAAAAAAAAATCATAGTTCCACTCTAAGATTTGTAAACTATTCTGAAACTGAACACTTTTGAAACTAAAACCTTAAAGGCCAAAACACAGCTTGTGCAGTAACAATTGTCAGTAGAAATACTTCTCTAAAGACCTCCGTCAGATTGTTACCAAATGTGAGTGAAACACTGCTGTTTCTTCTCAAGAAGATCTCTTGGGAGGAGACAAGCTTTGCACAAGAGTAATAGTTGTGACAATAAGCAATATTCGCAATACCATACCTGAAAAACGTAAATGAGCGAATGATAGAAGATTTACCCAAAAAAAAAAAAATCTACTGGAGTAAACTTCACCATAAATCCAAAGAAACTAGTCAGTTCAGCTTACATGGGGTACGTGAAAATAACTTCGCTCAGGTCTGTCTGCACAATTAGAACTACATGGGATCTATCCACAACTGAGTGAATACTCAGGTTTTCTTTGTTTTTAGGGTTTTTGGGGGGGGGGGGGTGGTCTATCCACAACTCCACTACTTTAAGATTTCTGAGCCTGTGTATAAGGAGATATTAATGATGTCTTATTTGTTTTCAATCAATGGAGGTACAAATGTTCTAAGGTAGAGATTACTGTGGCTTGTGTCATGTTTTGTATTTTTCTATATACTGAGACAAGCATTGGCTGGTAGTGTTTATTATGTGTTGAGAAATATATTTGTTCGAGGGCCAAGGAGATAATTTGTTGGCGTGATGAATTTGTTTTATATGCTGTAGTGAGTATTGAATTATTGGCATATTACCAAGATGTGAAAAATTGTGCCGGGTTGTTTTTTTATTAATTATCTGATGGATTAATTATGAACTGACCTGGATCAATATTGGTTGGGAACTGAACACAGGGTGTGCTTGGCAAGCCACGTAGAAGTGGGTTAGGTCCGTCCTGAGCCCTGGCCCTCTTATATTCTAAACTAGTTATTGTTTGCACTAGGAGACGGTGATTCAAACTAGGCTGGTTTAATGGCCAAAATTTGGTCTCAGTTGAGTTAATTTTAGCAATTTTTTTTGCCAAACAAAGAAGCACTCAAAATTGAGCTAGGTACTCTAGTCCTAATCTAATTTTAGAGGGTTGCCGAACACAATACCCTAAGCTAAATGAATGTGAAATTCACTGATCATATGATTTGACTAAGTTCTGTCTTTTTTCTTCAACAAAACAAAATTATACGGTGGTCTCTTGATTATATTTAACAGAGAAAGCTGTTTCTAGGATCTCCAAAGTCAAAAACCTGTATTATATTTGATAAAAATAATAATAAATGGAACAGCTATTGAGGGATTGACGTGCTAGCTGTTTTTAAGCAAAGCAGGCGAAAGGTGGCAACAGAGATTGTCGTGTTACTCATGAAGCAACCAAACAAACGTGAGCCCAACAAATTTTCAACATTATTTAATAATTTAGGGCCCTTATGGCCTCTTATTATGGAGGGGTGTTGGTATCATCTCAGTTCAAATTTTGGATACCATGTAAATGAATGGTGCAGTTACCCGTAGTTAGAACATGCATCACATACCAAGCTTAAATACTTTTTAACAAATTATTACTAGGATGCATGATATGTACCTAATTAACACATAACGATAATGAGCATCTTATTAGAGTACCATTTTCCAGTCGGATGCTAAGACATTGCTAAATAATTTAGCTTATGAGGGTGAAAGTCTCTCATTGTTAGATTATATTTGTGCTACCATCAAGATAGAGGCCGCAGCCTTCCCACAGAAACGCTTCCCCTTCGTTCATAGGGAAGGAAACAAACCGGTCCATGCTCTTGCTAATATTAGGACTCTTAGGGTCTGTTTGGTTCTCTGTTTTTGGGTGGGAAAGAGCCCGAAACCTGCCACAGATGTCCCATCTGTGGCAGCTTTCGAGCTCCTCCGAAACCAACCAAACGAACCCCAATGTTGTTCTTCATTCATTTTTCCTTAGCGAGATACAAACTGATGTTTTAGATTCTCCTTAAATAAAAATTTGCAAGAGTTTTCAAAAAAGAGGCATTGGTCTTTATCTAGAAAGAAAACGAAAGAAATTACTTGGTGTCAAAATACAGAGTTTAAGTATAAGTCCTCTATAAACATAGGACCTACTAACCAGACGCAACCACTGAGCTACGTTTGTAATGTTAAGACAAAAAATGTTGGACCCAAACTCTGATCAAAATTTATGGCTCATCAAGAACACCCCCCAGTGGTACAAAACTAGTTTACGGAATGCACTGTGTAAAAAGCATGTATGATGTAATCATACTATAAATTTCATATCATTTATTCATTCCTTGCAATTGTTAAAAGGTTATCATTCACGAACCCTCACAGTTTAAACACTCATTATTGTAGTAGCGAAAGTACTTTGAAGTTAAACTCTTTTATTTTTCAGTAAGAAAGTATTTTGAAGTTCGTGGAACTTAAGGCGAACTTACACCAAACTGCATCTAACATGTAATCCCACTTCTTTTCGTCAGATACACGTGTCATATCAGCATCTCCTGGTTTGCTGCTGATCTAATTACAATGAAAAATTCCTCAATATGAGACCAATAGGGGGGACAAGTGAGGTGTCCCCCTCCTATTGGATAATGAGTTGATTATCATTAATGATGATCAACTCATTATCCAATAGGAGGGGGACACCTCACTTATCCCCCCTATTGGTCCCATATTTTGGGTTCTTAAAGAATTTTTCATTTTTTATTTAGGCATTGCTTGAACCTTGACTAATAATTTAATATTAGGAAAAATTGCTTCAAGAACCGAAGCAAGACCAAGCTCTTCTTTCTCTCTCCAGGGAATCTTTACCACCAATGCATACAAGGTTTTGATGCAACACAAGAGAAGAAATGGACAAAGATGAAGTACCACTCCCTGAAGTAGAAGAGAGAGGACAAACTCTCCTTTGGAATTACTAATTAGTCATCTTCATTAAAGGTACAACTTCATGATTCTTGTCGTTATTGCCCGACTTATTTAAATGTTGTCCTTTGATCATGTGACTGGGAACTTAATACAGAGAAAATCTCCTCTACTTTTTATGGATTGAACCTTGATAGATGCAGTAAAATGTACTTACGAACAGAAAAAAAAAATTCCATTGCTTTGAGAAGGAAGGAGTTCACAAATTTCTCCTCGGTTATGGGGCATTTAAAACACATCAAATGCTCTTCTTTTATATCATTATGCAGACCACTCTAATTGTACTAACCAAAAATAAATAAAGATTCCATTTCTTTGTGGGATTTCTCTTTTGTAAGGAGTTCAAATATTTCTCGATCTGGTCATCATCATTGTGAGAGATGGCCATTTAAGACACATCAAGTGCTCTTCATTATCATAGGCATCCATCATAATTTGTATCATAGCAACTCATTTTCTTTGACTTATAGTTGTCCTTTGGTTATGGTAAATGGGCATTCTATTTCAAGAAAACCCCTTATAGTAGCTTTCCACCCCCTCCCCGAGGCAAAAAACTCAAAACAAACAGCCCCTAAATCTTGGTACAAATGTGCTTCCTAAGAAATAAATAAATGTTCCGTTGTTTTGAGAGAAAATGAGTTCATAATATCTTTTGGGTCGTATATATATATCATTCTGTGAGATGGATATTTAATACGCATCAAATGCTCTTCATTTATTGTAGCAACAATTACAATTGTATTATTTATCTTGTTTTCTTCCTCTTAGTCACAATCTTTTGGGCCTAGGGTTTGTTGAGTTGGGAGCCTCCTCTAATGGCAGCTACAGCTAAGGTGAAGGGGTTCTTCAAGGGATTCAAGTACATTGCTCAAATATTTGGTACGTAGTGCCCTTGCCTAATTCTAGTTCTCACTTCTTTCCTGATCATTGAGAATACTTTTCTCTTTTTTCCTTAATTATTTAAATTTTTTTGTTGCAGTTTATAAAGATCATGAGTTAGAGATTGGTTATCCAACAGATGTGAGACATGTGGCACATATTGGATGGGATAACTCCTCAATGAATGCCCCCAGTTGGGTAAGTAAGATTTACATGCATTTTCCTTTATTATTATTATTATTATTGCATTAAGATTAATTTTCTTGCTTGAGTATTTTTCTTACTTTATTTATGTTTTTTTTTTTTTGCTTTCAGATGAATGAGTTTAGGACTGCTTCAGATTTTTCCTCAAGCTCCCTCAGCAACTTTGAGCAATCAAGGGAAACATCTTGGGCCTCTCAAGGCACATTCTTCATCTCATGATTAATTTCTTAGCTATAGTTGCTTGTGATTTTAGATTTTCGTGATCATTAGAGAAGAAAATTTTAGTCAGAAATCATATTTATAGGATGAAATTTATATCTAGAAATTAAAGTGTCAGGGTTTTCATTTATGTCGTTATTTTCTTCACTTTTGGTGAGTTTCTTAATTAAAAAAAAAAACTTGCTTTAGTTTAAATTTATCCTTAGATAGCAAATATCTCATAAGGCGGAGATGAGACTAATTGACAGAGTTAAGTATTTCATCGATAAGGTAATAAAGAATGGATGTGGCAGAATAATAGATAAATTAAGTTAGTCTTATGATTTGAGAAATTAAAATTTATTGTCTATCCTAATGGGGGTGTTTAACTAAAAGTGAATTGAAAATGTGAAAGTTACTTTTTTTGCAAGTGAGAAAGTGTACCCACGTCAGCATGCAAGTAAAATATAGTATTTGTTTACAAAGCTATATTGTTAGTGAAAGTAGGAAAATAAAGATGAAGTGACAATATTATTTCATTTAATTAATATTATAAAATTATATTATATTTTTAATGATCTTTTGGAAGCCACAAGTAGACGAATTGAATGTCAATATTATTCATTAGATAAAATTACTCATTTATTTGTTTAATAAAAATAAATTATTTGTAAAATTTGCTTTATCCTACCATCCAGTACTTGTCTAATGGTTATAATGTTTTTTACATTTTATATTTTTTGTGTAGCAGTTGTAGTAATTTGAGGATAAAGGAGCAAATAGTAAGAATTCAAGGGACTAATATAGACAAGTGACAAAAAATAAAGTCAAGTTTTGAAAGTTCGATATGCATTGTCTATAGAAGGAAAATAAGTCATCCGGAGCTCTTTTGTGTTTAAAAAAAATTGAAGATTAAATTAAAAGTCATTTTCTAATTAATAAAAGTGGTCCCCACTTCATTTTCATATGACATTGGCACTTTTTTAGGGGAAATAAAATATGCATTAAATCCTACGTGGCATAATTTTTGTGTTACACTTTTATATGTACTTTCAATAAAAAAACACCTAAAATGATAAGAGCGAATCACTTTCTCACTTTCGCTTTTCACTTTCATTAAACAAACGCCCCCTAAGTACATGAGATCCTTGTAAAGTATGAATTATATAGTATATTCCAAATGAAAAAAAAAATCCGGTGTCTTAGATTGATATTTGACTTTATGTTTGTTTAATTTTTTATTTTAGAAGAAAATGTGTACATTTATCATATTTAAAGGTCTGAATTGTAAGAACC